GGAATGAAAGCGTGATTGACAATTGTTGTGCCTTTTGCCCTTTTATAGAATCATAAGTATAGTATTTACAGTTGTTACTCATAAGGCACAAATTCCTATGTGAAAAGACAACTAATTTAACAAGCCCGTAAAACACTTATGTATTTTCAAAAGAAAAACAACACAACTCCTATGTCAAGTTAAAGGCAATGTAAGACAACAAAAGACAAAAATATGTATTTTCAATATAAAAAAGAAAACTTGTATTTCAAATAATGTGAGAGGGTTAAAATCTTTGTCTAATGGATTTTTCAGCAGTCCCACTAATATATATATGCATCCTAACTTGTCACTGTTGCCCGCATTTCCATACTTTCTCGTACCAGGTCCCACTCAGCTGGCATTGGTACATATTTTATGTTTATTATTTGTCATATTTTATGTTTTTAATATTTTATGTTATTTTTAAATAATTCATAACTTTTAACAATTATTTTTACAGTTGGGTCCAATTTTATTTTATGGAAGAAGCCAACATTTTGACTAATATTGATTTTTCAAATATGGATGTGTAATACAATAAATATTTGTTGAATGTGTGAGCGTAGTTAGAATAAATATGTATGCCTATTTGATCTCTCCTAGCCATGCATGAAATTTCTTTTTTCATGAATATTAGTGTAATTTATGATATTTTAAACTAATGTCATTGTAACAAGAAATTAAAAACGAATGTAATTTTCGAAATTTCCAAAACTCCGCCGATTCCGAGGCATTCCGAAAATGGAATGAATTGTTCCATTCCTATTTTTATTTTTTTGAAATGGAATTAGAACCTGTTTTTTACTTCCAAAAAAAATGGGTATTTTTCGAATAAGCTATTCTCGATCAATGCCATTAGATTTCCATCCCTTGATACATCCACTCGTGTATGATTTTCATTGGTTTTATATAAGCGAGAATCATAAGCTATTTTCGATCAATTCCATTTGATTGCCCTCCCTTGACACATCCATTCATATAAGATTCTCATTGGTTTTATATAAGCGAGAATGGCAAATTCTGATATTTTTTCTGCAAATTAAGATTATTGGGCCGAATTTCGGAAATTACATTAGTTTATAATATCTTGTTCGAATTTGTATATAGAATTTTCAACAATATTTTTCTATCTTCTTTGAATTTTGTGGAAAGTGCAAGAAAATCCAAAAGAGAGTTCGACAAAACGCAATAAATAAAAACACATGTACGAACAACATATTGAAACATAGATATTCTTATAAGAAAAATGCAGTTTTGCTTTCGATTTTCTGTACTTACATTTTTCATATAAAATAAACATAAATTAAATTATGGAATCACAAAATATATCTTAAATTTATATATTTACATATTTTAAAAAACCATAGAAATATTGGAAACTAAAATTGGATAAAAAATCGGAATTTCCAGTAATTTTATATACCATTATGATTTCTTTCCAAATAAATTTGAAAATTTTGGAAATCGGAACTTCGAAAATTGGAATGAGAAATACGGTTACAAATTTGAATATTTTAGATCGGAATGGGTTGAATTCGAAAATTCCAATACAATTTTCACCCCTAGATGTGTCATATTTTGAATCCCAGTTGGTCCGTTAGTAACAGAGACGAAATGATTTATGGACTCATCACAACATTCTTTCATATTGAATATTGAATAAAAAGAATTTTGATATGGTGCATCCAAGACTGATTCTTAAATGATTATTTTTATTGGTGCTTTTATACCTCTGTTTTTTTTTTTTCCTTTGCTACCTTATTCTTGATTTATAGGGTAAACAGCATTAAATCCCCTCGAATCCCCTTTTGTTAATTTTATTGTGTAGAATTTCCATCTGTTTCATTTTATCTTGTACATCAAATCTCTTGTTTCCTTAATACATAACACCGATTAACAAATAATGGGATTTCATGCAAAAGAATTCGTAACACAAGGGGATTTAGTACATGGTTTCAATAATACAAGAGGTTCCATGCAAAAACAATTTATTTATTTACACATATTATTGATTTATTTATTTGTTTTTAAAATTTTGTTAACTTTCAATTTTGATGTAGTTGTTTTTTGTAAAATAAAATGGAATCATGTTTTTTAAATCCTAAATGAGAAAAAAATGTTCTAAAATTTTAAATTGGTAATGGTCAAATTGATATCGTGCAGAAAACCCCAGAGGGCCAATCCATAAAATTGCTGCGCAACACGGTTCAGATAGGGTCCAGACACACTATAGGACAGACCATCCCATCTGGGACAGATGGATGATATATATATATATATATATATATATATATATATATATATATATATATATATATATATATATATAGGCAGAAAGCCTGCGGTGACGTGGACAAAAGAGGGGCCCACTTGAACGTAGAGTAAAGAAAAAACACATCCGTAAGATCTCTCCAATTGTACTAGTTTAGTTCTAAGTGCACACAAGAAGCTCGCTGGCGAGAGACATACAACTCATTAAGATCTCATCACTCTTACGTGTGAGTATGACCCAAGTCAGAGGAGGCCCTACCGCCCCACTCATGAGACATGTATAAATACAGCCTTAAGAGTCAAAGAATGAGGTATCACACAAATACTCTATTCAACTATCTATACATATTGTTATTTACATTATATACTGACTTAACCATTGAAGTACTAACACCGAAATAATCCCAATGGCACTTCTTTTTACAGGTTTTCCAAGGAATCTTTGGACTATCTTTGTGGGCTTTTTATTGTCCAAAACCCATATAATTGTCTTCCTTTTATTATTAGCCAAAAAGGGCCTCATCCCCTTATTCTTTAGTTTTATGTATTGCAATTGAATAAAATCTATTTGACTTCATTTGAAAAAAAATTAAAAAAAAAATTATAGTTTAAATAAATTATGTTACATAAATTCCCTTGTATTGTACCCAAAATCTACTGCGTTACTAAAAGGTTGCATAAAATTTCCACAAAAGTTAATGGAATAGGGAATTTTACGCAATAAAAACAACAAAGTGTAAAATACAAAGGGACTTGGTACGAATTTTCTACAGGACTTAGAGTTTTTATGTTGTTAGCTTGTGGTTTTTATCATAGAATTAAAGTCTGTTGTGTCATCTAGGAGATTAAATTCCAATTTCCAGCCCTAGTCATTATTGTAATTAATTTTCATTTTCATGATTATTTGTAATTTCAATTCTTTTCTGGGTTGAAAAAAAAAACAAATCAAATTTATTTGGGCCTCAATTGTTCAGCCAACAAGATGAACAAGCAGACTTAAAGGCCCATAAAAGCTCTTCCAAGTAATATTGTTGATGTAGATTAGCTTATTTTAAATAGCTGATAAACTCTTACGTCTGATAAGATGTTTTAAGAGCTGATAAGTTGTTACATCTTATTTTTTGGATTAATTTTTAGAGTGTTTGGATAATGGGCTTATTTCCTATTTTTACTCATTAAAAGATCTTAAATAAAAAGGTGGGGTAGATGTACTTATTTAAAAAGATCTTATTTGCTCTCCAACAACTTATTTTAAAAAAAAATAAGATCTTTTTTTTAAAATTTACCAAACACTTTGGAAGAGCTTATAAGCTCCAAAACATCTTATAAGCTCATTTTAACATCTTATAAGCTTAGCCAAACACCCTCTAAAAACATTTCCAAATGGTAAACAAAACGGATATCTTTAGTGTATATACTCAAAGCGCACTAATACATAATTTTTTTACTCAATAAACAATTTTTAATTTTTTTTTATGGGTGAACTGTGAATATTAAAAACACCAAAAAACTGCAAAATTTAATCAATGAGCTGACTTATAACTTAGTCGTTGTTATCATGGTTGTTAGATCGAAAATCGAATCCAAAATTGATTTGTAAAAAAATCAAATAGTAAATCGTAAGATTTGAATATCTTTCAAAAATAATATATATAATAATTATATATAAATATTTTTAAAAAATTGTATAGTGTTATAACAAAAATCTGATTCTTTTAAAATTTATGAAGTCAAACTATGGAAGTTTTCTCTTGAAGAATATAAAAAATTGATTGAATGAAATATAAAAAAAATAAATAACTTAATACAAGCTCACTTATGCTATTAAAATCGGTGGTGTGTGAGAATTCGAGTAAAAGTATAATTGTCTCTCGAGAACTAATTTAAATAAAATAATATTTATTTAGAAAAAATAGAATTGAACTTATTCCAATTGATTTTCCTAATTCAATAGATGGCGAATATAAGCAAAAGTAATACTCCCTCCGGTCCAAATTAACTATTGCTTTGAGGAATTTTTCTTGTTCTAAATTATCTGTCACTTAAGAATTTCAATGATGCATTAGATACCATTTTCTCAATTTTGCCCTCATTACTATTTATTAATTGAGAGAGAATTAATGAAAACCACATTAATAGCATGGATATTTTCGTCATTATATATATTTTCTCTAAAATCGACGCACATTTATTAGTTTTCTTATGTGTGCAACAACCCAAAACGACACATATATTGGCATAGAGGGAGTATGTATATTGTAATTTTGTTCTTGTATATACTTGATTTAATAGTATTTCAAGGGATTAAGTGTAGACAATAACGTAATAATCACATTAACTATTTTTAATTAACGTCTAATATCTTTCTAATTGAAATTATTATAAACAATATAATAAATTAAAAATTTCTTTAAATCGTAAAAACCGTAAATCGTAATAATCAAATCGTAAATTGTAAGATTTGATCGATTCTTGACATGTAAGATTCGAACCGATTTAAGAATGAATCAAATCGTAAATCATAAGATTTTAATAACTATATTCTCTCTTGAGTTTTCTTCTCCATCTAATTAATTGATTATGATAATATTTTCACCGAGCTCAATTCCTACAACACGTGATGGAGGGATGTCTTATGAGAAATCTCGAGTGTGTCAAATGCCAATTGGATCGAAATATCGTGCAAGAAAACAGGAAAAAAAAAAAAACAAAAAACAAAAAAATGTTTAATTGGACACATTCAAATCGACATATATTACATTAATGGGCAAAATGTTTTTTCACCCGGCCCTACTCTATTAATTACCAAAATATATAGTTTTTTTTTCTTACACACATTACATAATCTAAACTTTAAAATCAAATATTAAATTTTAAAAATAAATAAATAAATAAGCTTAAAATAATCTTGTTGAATAAGTGACAGCATGACTTCTGCTTCTGGGGTACATAATTCCATTTTTACCACTATTAAAAATATCTTGATCGCCAAAATTAATATAGGGCCTGTCTTCATCAATCCTCCCCATGGCCACACTGCTGCTTCTCGGCGGCATTGCCCGTGGCCCGGCCCCAGAGCCCACTATATCCGCGGTGCTCCGAGCTGATAATGCAGCCCGAGAAAGCTGCGGTAAATCCTCGTTTTTGGTGGACCGGGCCGAGTTGACACTGAAACTCTTGGGCAGGCCCGAAACATGCGAGGTTCCTTGAGCCGCCGCCATTACATTGCCGAGGTTCATTCTGTCTCCATAGTCCGACAAGCTTTTCACGTAAAGATCACGGGCCTTGGATAGGGCCCGGATCGGAGTAGTGATTATTCGCATGAACAATTTACGTTGGCTTGCTTTCGATTTCATCGATCGATCTTCTTCAGGAAATAATTATTCCCTTAATTTTGTTGTTCTTTATATATACCACACACACTTGAATATATGTATGTATATATATATGAAGCCGATGTTTCTTGAAAAGATTAACTAAATCTTTAGCTAGCTAGATTATGTATAGATACACTTGAAATCAAAATAAATGGATGTATATATATTGTGTGTTGAGGAATCTTCGTTGAAGTAAAGTGATGGAGATATGAACAGAATTAAGATGGCGCGTGGACTTTTTGTGCTGCCCACCGGTCACCACTCACCAGATGAGATTAATTTATGTATTTATTATCAATTTTTTAGTCAGCAAAAGCTAGTCATTATAATTAGTGTGCCAAACTTGACATTCAAATTCAAATTCAAATTCAAATAAATTATTACTCTTTTGCATGATAATGTTGACGTCATGCCGGCTTCACTGTTTAATTGTAGTTGAAAATTTCCATGTTTTAATTGACATTTAGTTATTTGTGAATTCGGTAGGGTCCATAGCTTTGAAATTACATGTGTGACATTTTTATGTTTTTTTTATTTTTATTTTTTTGTAACGAAAGAACCCGCAACCAACCATATAAGTGCACTGGGTAAACCGACATTTTCGTTTCGTATAATAGTTTTCAAACAGTAGGAGAGACGCAAACCACACTAGACTAACCATATATGACGACCATTGACAAGGATTTTCGATCTAAAGGTATTTTAGTCTTCTAAATACATAGTTTTTCCTAATTTTTTTTAAGCTGCGTGAATTTCTTACAATTTATACAAATGCCTTAAACTTTAGTTATGTTACATATCTCCAGTGTAATTAAGTGGGGAAATATCTTCTTCTTACATAGTTATTGTCAATGTCTTCAAAACCGAACCGGCATAAAACCGGACGACGACCTACTGGATTCAACCTAGTTTGATTTTCTTAATTCTTTTTTTAGTTTTAAGGCTATGAATGTTTTTCTTAAGTGGTGTAGTAAGATAATTGTAGAATTGTTTGTGTTTTTAATGATGATTGATTGCATTAGATTCGACATGACATCCATTTATCGATTGATTTGACTCTTGATTGCACCTCGTGCTAGTTTGTTATGATTGAAGCTTAAGGATCGTATTATAACATAACAAATTCAATGTAGTTTGTGGGTATATACAGTGCAAAAATACAACGAGACTAGTATTATAATTAGTTGGGAAATCTTGGTGTTTAAACACTTGTTGCATGCGCTAAATACATCGTAGTTCGTACAAAACTTACATTATATTTTGCAAACTTGAAATTCAAACAAATTAAATAACATGAATGTTGATCTCACGCCGCCTTCATTATTTATTGGTGTAGTTTGAATAATTTCATGTTTCAATTTAATAAGTTGTGAATTCAGTAGGTCCATAGCTTTGAAAATAAATGGCCCCAATTCTAAATAAATTATTTCTATTATTTAATCCTGCCTCCATTTATTTTTGGGTAAAGTTGAGTGTGTACTCCTAGACTATTGGTTAGGGTTGGGTATGAGTAAGGTCGATAGGGGTACTTATCGGCCAATACTCGATCCGACCATCCGATTTTGCTGAATATTGAAACGAGCTCTTTGATATAACCCCCTCAAAACTTTTTTTAATAGAGAAATGTCCAAACTATTTTACACCATTTGAGAAAAACTCACTCCAAATTTTAGCCACCCAGTTTTTCATTTATGTCCCTCCACCTTACACATCCCCATGACCTATCAGCCCACTATCCCATGATCCATCAGCCCATTATCCCCATGACCCAGCCGTGTCTCTTTCTTTTTTTTTTCTTTTTTTTTTTATATTATCATTATTATTAATTTATAATTATTATTATTTAAAAAAAAATTAAATTTTCTTTTCTTTTTTTTAAATTTTATTTTTATTTTATTTTCCTTTTTTTAACTTTTTTTCTCTATCAGATATATTAATCGACAATGAAGCATATTAAATCGACTATGATGAACTATAGTCGATTAAAGAAACGACTACTAAAAATAACAAATCACAACTACAAAAATGCAAACTCAACTATATTTTACAAAAACAAACAATATAAAAACATTATAATTGACTATACAATTGGAATCAAAAACAAAAAAATCAAAAAATAAAAATAAAATTGGAGTCAATGAAGCATATTAATCGACTATGATGTGAATCATAATCGATTAAGAATCTCCTACTAAAAATAACAAATCACAACTACGAAAAAATGCAAAATCAACTCTATATTACAAAAACAAAAAATATACAAACATTATAAATGATTTATACAATTGGAATCAATAAACAAAAAAAATCCAAAAAAACTAAAAAAAATTGGAGTCGATGAACCTTAATCGACTACCAGAGCATAGTCGATTAGCTTAATCGACTATGAACATGTACATAATCGATTAATGTTTCAACCTGTGCGAAATTCTCTACAGGCGTCGTCTTCCGCCCAATCCACCAAAAAACCCTAAATATGTTTCCCCATCGTCACCACAGAGCCGCCACAACACACCATCACCACCTTACTTTGACATTATGACGGTTTTTTATTACAAATAAATAAAATATAAAATCACAACTCGCACCACCAACCAAAGCAGAACCACCACCCATCAAAATCCGATTCCGGCGACAAAACGACAATCTTACCTCTTTTCGTCTCTGATGTAGCAATCCTGACATTCGAATTCAGAATCGCTATCAAAATCATTTATAATGTTTGATGGGTGCTTCCTCTTCTTTCTTTCTCCATCTTCCGGCGGCGACCGCGGCAGCGGCGGAGAAGATTGTCGGAGAAAACAAAGGAAAAAAAAAAGAGAGAAGAAGAGAAAAGCTGGAACGTTGAAAACGGCGAATAAAAAATTAAAAATAAGATTAGGGTTTTGAAAGAGTATAATAGACAATAAGAGTAGTTTTGGAATTATGAAAATATCACATGAGTGGATATTAGCTAAGGGGGTTATCCCTAATTATTTTTGGAAGGGGGTGTTTCCTTAACTCATTTCCCATATTGAAAACAATTATCGATCCGATCGTTATGGGTCAGATAATAGTTGGCAACTGACTTTGTCGGATAAACAATGGGTCGGTTGAAGGTATTATCGGCCGTCTATTTATTTATTTTTTTATAATAGTAAGATGTTTTTAAAAGTTTTTCAAAAGATATTTAAAATTTTGGAAAAACTTATTTGGCAAAACTCTTAACTTTAAAATTAAGATTCTTTTTTTATTAAACTTCTACAATAAGTAAATATATAATAAAAATATGTGATCAGAATTATAAAATAGAAATAGTACGTAGAGCCAGAGGTTTACAAATTTGTGTTTCGAGTTTTTGAGTTTGACTTAATTTATATATTATTTCAACGTTAAGAAAATAAGAATTACAATTAAATATTTATAATAAATTTATATTATTAAATAAGTCGGTTGGCCGATATTACCCAACCAAAACTACCGACCGACCCTTTTAAATATAGGTCGGTTAAAATTACCGGCCAGACAACAAAATTACCAGTTGAAAAAAGCAGATCGAAAGTGAATCGGTTGGACGATAAAACCGACTCATGTCCAGCCCTAGTATAAGGTATAAGGTGAGTCATATATCTCATTATTGAACTTCAAAACATACCAAAGAAAGCTCCGGTCATTTATGGTAATAGTTAGGAGAATATCACTCTTTGATTTTTAGTAGAGCTTTTTTTGCACTTAAAATTTATTTAATGTACTCCTATTTCCATATTGTTTGTTGAATTAGATTTTTTTTTTTCAAATTATTTGGCAGTTTAGAATTCTAATGAAGCAGTAGTTGCAAAAAAAAAAATCAATTTTGTTCTCTATCACTTTTAACTACAAATAATTAATTACAAACGTATTTTAGTATTTTTTTATGTTTTCGTCACAATTCATATTATTTATTTATTTTCTTAATATATGGTCAACTAAAACATGAGAAGTCAGTATGAGCCAGTTGCACTTGTGTCAGACAAAAATTCAAAAAGGGTAATGTTTCATTTCAACTATATTGATTCACCTAAAAAGATTTTTCTTGAAATTTGTACTACGAGAAATAACAAAATTGTAGTGCATTTATTAGGGGTGAACATATACCTGCCAAACCCGACCCGTCCGCCCAATCCGACCTAATCCGCTTGTAAACCGCTAGTTTTGCTTGTTAAAATAATAGTAGCAGTTTTATATTATGAAAAACCCGACTAGAGCGGGTTCGTTGTCGGGTTTACTTGTTGAAACCCGCCCCAACCCGACCCGCCCGCATCATATGTTTAAGCATATATTTTATTGAGTAAAAAGCAGTTTGCCCCCTAAACTATGGGCCGATTTGCACTTTACCCCCCAAACAAAAAAAATTTGTACGTTTTTACCTAAACTCGTTAATTCGTTGCACGGTGCCCCCTGAACTCAATTTTCCGGCAATTTTGACCGGAAAGTTAAAACATGTGTCTTGCACGTGACATTTGCAGGGGTATCTTTGTACATTCACTTACATCTTTAATATTAAATATAAATTATTCTTTAAAAAACAAAAAACTAAAAAATAAAAACAAAACAAAGAAAACAAAAGACAAAAAAAATATTTTGTCTTCTTCCCCCATTCGCCCACCGTGCCACCACCATCCCATACCCATCCCAGCCAAAAATTCCGTCACCCACCGGCCGCCGATCGAGTCTTCGACCACCTTCTCTCTTTCCGAAAAACACACACTGAAAGCTCGCCTCTCTGTAATTTCTGTATATCTAATTTCTCCGATTTATGTGTGTGTGTGTGTGTGTGTGTGTGATTGCAGGAAGTCGGCGGTAGATTCAGGCCGTATTCGGAAATAACAGGGGTTTATCGCTGTAAAGAACAGATTGATTGGAAACTAAAATACGGCAAATATAAGCTCCTTAATTACTGAACCTGCCAAATGGAAATCTTTCTTTTTTGGGGATTGATTTTGCAGTTAATTATTTTATTTTATTTTATTTTATTGATTTTTGCAAAATCAATTGCAGCCAGCGGTGTACTAAGAGGAATGTTCGTCAAGCTTATCACAATGTCTGCCATGGTTAGTTTTAGTTCTAAAACTGTTTACTACACTGTTATTGTATTGTGTTTTGCTTTCATTTTGTCGTAATTTAGTCTTCGGAAAACGGAATAAAGAATCAAATTTTTGTTGGGGGTGGACATCTTTGTTCTTAATTATTGAGAATAATGTGCGTAGGTTGTGCTAAAGAGCATAAACCCGAAAAATCGAGAAAGATTGATAAAAAATTAAGTTTTTTTTTTGATGAATTGGTTAATGTTGAAGCGGATGCAGTCAGTTTATGAATTAATATTTGTATTTCTTCCCCTACAGAGATATTTCAGAAGTAGAAGCTGAGAAAAAGACATTAGACGAGGTTTTCATTTTATAATTTTTTACAGTTGAAGCTATTATTTTGGTTTCGGGTTCAGTATAATCACTGATGTTAGTTGAGTTAGAAACTTACCAATTGTTTGCTGCTTTAGGCAATCAAGAATGCTCCGGAGAGGGATAGGAGATCTTTGCTAAGAGCTGTAAGTTTTTTGTCGGAATTATTTTTTTCTGATTTATTTTGTTTGAATTGAATTTGGGCCGCCGAGGAGATGTAGTGCATCAATTATCGGAGATGGATGCTGCTGTTATTTTTTCGCCGGAGAATGTTGCCTGGCCCGCCGACAAAGCTATATCCGTGAAAGGAAGAGCGGTGGTGGTCGTCGGAGAATTTTGGAAATTTATTAAATTAGGTGTTTGAGATTTTTTTTTTTGTGCAGGGATGGATTGGGTTTGGGAAGGAAAGATGGGGATGAATGACAGCTTCTTTTTCCTTGTTTTTTTTTTCTTTTTTTTTTTTTAATATCTATTTCAATTTGTATTTAATATTAAAGATGTAAGTGAATGGACGAATTTGCCCCTCAAAATCTCACGTGCAAAGCACATGTTTTAATATTCCGGTCAAAATTGCCGGAAAATTGAGTTTAGGGGGCACCGTGCAACGAATTAACGAGTTCAGGTAAAAACGTGCAAATTTTTTTTGTTTGGGGGGTAAAGTGCAAATCGGCCCATAGTTTAGGGGGCAAACTGCTTTTTACTCTATTTTATTTATTTTTATGTTAAAATAGGGTTTTTTGCACTTTGCACACATGAATTACACCATTTTGTCACTTTGCACCCTTAAATTGCAAAATTGGCATATTGCACCCTTTAAACATAAATTGTTTGGCACTTTGCACCCCAAATCACTTTTGGCTTAGAAACTTACCTGCAACTTGCTGGGAAACCTGGAAGATGGGCAAATTCATAATTTTCTAATTTATCTATCATCGTACCCCAATTCTTAATCACCGTTCCACCATTTTTATCTTTCGTCCCTTTAATAAAAAAATCCTAAAATCTTTATAGCCATTTATTTCAATGGTAAATCCGTATAAACATTAAACAATAATAGAAAATAACTTCTTTTTTTTTGCTTTTGAGTTTAAAAAATAATGTAACTGGAAATTTTAGGCCGAGCCCTCAATTTTTTTTTTTGAATAGTCAAATGACAGAATAAGGCTACTGAGAGGTTTATTTGGTGACAGAGAGGTGGTTCCTATTAGTTTCATGATGAGAGGAATTTTTTGGTCCCATTGAATAATTTGGATCAGAAAAATGATTTAAAAAATAACATTACCATGGAATAAAACTTTGATCTTCTGAAGGTGTTATCGGACTCTTGTCTATTATATATTCCGGGCATTCTTGAGTTTTAGTTCAGAATTTACATATTAGGACAAATAGAAATGGCTAAAAAGAATTTTTGATTTTTTGATTAAAAAGATGAAAAATAAATTTAGTGGAACGATGATGAAGAATTGGGGGAAGATGATATATAGATACTTAGAGAATTACGAATATGCCCATCTTCCAGGTTTTTAGCAAGTTACAGGTAATTTTTATAAGCCAAAGTGATTAGGGGTGCAAAATGCCAAACAATTTATGTTTAAAGGGTGTAATCTGCCAATTTTGTAATTGAAGGGTGCAAAGTGCCAAAAGGGTGTCATTCAAGGGTGCAAAGTGCAAAAAACCCGTTAAAATATCAAGTAAATCTAGGTTTTCTCTCACCTCTTCTCCTTTTCCGTTTCCGTAGACTGTTAATCTTGTACATAGTTCTCCAAGTAATTGCCATTTTCATTTCTCTAGAAAATTCTTGCTGAGGGCTTCATAATTTTAGCAAGCTTTGATTATAACAAATTCGAACAGCTTGTATGATTTTCTAATGAATAAAGAAGCGTGAAGACTAGCGGGAAAGAGTTGAGGGAGAGGAAATGAGAGATTGCGGAGAGATTGGATGGGAGGAAGGGAGAGAGGCGGAACAAGAAAATGGGAGATGAGAGAAAGTTAGGAGTAGGTGCGCGAGATGGGGGCATGAGTAAACAAAAAATGAGGTAGGATTTTTTGGTTTTTGGAATTTATTAAACCCGCCAATTCGCCCGTTAGCCCGCCCACCCGACAAACTCAAACCCGTGCGGTTTATAAATGGCAGATGCGGGTTTGAAATTTGTAACCCGTCAACCGTTGGATCGGATTGAATTTTTCTATAAATTAAACCCGCCCAAACCCGCCCGTATTCACCCCTGGCATTTATAAACAGGTAGAGGAGTTGAACCAAAACTTGTGGCCCCTATAATTTAACTAGGATTAGGAGAAGGGGGTATCTTGATCAGCTCACATTCTCATCCACCATTAGTGGAGGAATAATTAATTTATTTAGTAGGGGTATCCCCGCCAAACTAATGAATTGATTAACATGGCCGATACAGTCATATTTTTATAAATTAATGCAGTGAGGACTAGCAAAATTCTATTGATTTAGCTAAATATTAAATTATCGAATTAGTAATGTAATACGTTTTTACCAAGTAGGGACCAGAAAAAATTATTATTTAAATGGGGTTATTAATTTATCGAGATTACTGTACTTTGTTTTGCTCAATCACAATTGCATTTTTTTCTTTATAAGTGACAAAATTCATAATTGCTTTTAGTCACACACTATTAGGCATATCCTTTACCACCACCACCAACCACCATTCAAGAGTGAAAAGGCGAAAAAATGTTTGGAACGGTGTCGGATTCGATGGAGGTGAAGGTACCAGCAAGTGAAGCGTGGAAGTTGTACGTACCCTCGAACTCGCCAAAATCGTACCCGAAGCGCTTCCCAATATGGTCAGCAAAATCGAAGTCGTGCAAGGTGAGGGCGGCGTTGGTACCATCCTCGAGCTCTTTTTTCTTCCAGGTACAACATCTCTCTCTCTCTCTCAATTTCAATTTCAATATAAACCTGATGATCGGAACAGGGAGGAAGGATATGACGTCGTACAAGGAGAAGTGCACGATGGTGGATGATGAGAAACGGGTGAAGGAGACGGAGGTTTTGGAAGGCGGGTTTTTGGATCTTGGTTTTACCCTTTACCGGGTCCGGTACGAGGTGATAGAGAAGGAGGAGAAAATGTGTGTGACGAGAGTGACGATAGAGTACGACGTGAGAGAAGAATTTGCTGCTAATGTTGCTCTCGTTTCCATCCAACCTATCGTTGTTATTATGGAAGCCGTTGCTCGTCACTTGACTCAAAACAACCCCAACTGAGAGATTTTGGCCGACCTGTCCGAAACTTATATTATATATTCCTTCCTTTTCATTTTAACCGTCGCTTTGGTTTAATGCACATTATTGAGAAAATTAATAAATGTGCATGAGTTCTTAATAAATCCATTAAAGTGACTAATATACCCTCTTTTATTAATTGTTTCGCCATTAATTATCCTTCATTGTACTAAAAGATGATTCATAATGTTGAGTTTATTTTATGTTATCCATATCGGCAGTTTGATTGTTATGATTTAGTTCAAGATCAGGCAATGTATTAAAATAAGGAAATTAGTGTGACACTGCCTCCCCATTAAGAAATTGCACTGAGATATGTCCAACATTTTGAGGAAATAAGTAGCGTAAGCAGACTGATGCGCACAAGCTAGCAAAGTGTGGGCAAAACAATGCAGCGTGTGCAGTTTTGGGCGTTGGTGCGTGCGCGCGCCTGGGCAAGGCAAGTGCCCAACAACCTACTTTCGGAGCAGTTTAGAGAGCAGTTCGGGAGCGGTTAAGACCTGGAAATCATGCAAAACCACCCCTTGTAACTTGTAGTAATTAGCCACATGTAAAGTCTATGTGCCGCCACTTGTCTTTAGGAAGTTTGGTGTGTAAACTTTTATCTTCCTTGTTTTTATTTAGCTTAGAGTGCATAAAACCGAGCCATCTAGCATTAGAGAGTTCATATTGCAATTGTGGGCATCTGAGTGAGGATTTTATGTGTCCACCTTAGCTTCCTTTGCATTTTTTATTGGGAAATCAATATAAAGGTTGGGCATTGCCCGTAAACGTGTTGTGTTTTTATTTCCGCTGCATACTCTTGTAGATTCTTAAGTTGCCTTCAAAGATTTTGTGTTTGAGCGTTTGTGGGAAGAAATCGAGAGAAGATTGACTGATCTACTCTGATACTCCAAAATTAAAAAAATCCTCCTTCCATGGAGGCTTTAAAGTGACATTTATTTTGATACTCAACCACCCTATGGTTCAAAAATGCTCCCTGGAAAATGAGGTATCAAAAATATAATCAATCCATTATTCTAGGGGTGAGTTCGGGACGGGATTTCGGGAATTCGGAATTTTCGGGATTGGAATTTCGGGATTCGGAATAGAAATTTTAATCTCCATCTCGTCCCATACTATTAAATCCCGATATCCCTAAATATTTGGGAATTCGGGATTGGGATCGGAAAATTCCATATTTTTGCTAAAAAGTAAGAAATATTACATTTTTTTCCCATTATTATTATTTTATACGCTAAACCAGCTTGAATATATTATATTCATACTATTGTTCTTGCACTATTTATTTTTACAACGAAACGCCGAACAAATAAGATTTAAAAAATTTAAAAATAAGTTGAAACAATATATTATATTGTATTCCTCATCTCTTTGACACTATATATAAATTATTGATACTATATATAAATTATAAATGCAATCTACCATACAAAAAAAGTTAAACAACCATTTTTTTCTCTTTCCCATACAAAAGTTAGAATACTCAGGGGCACACCACCACACACCAAAAGAAATAAAAAACAAAAAAAAGAAAATGATTGTCTAAATTATATATATATATATATATATATATATATATATATATATATATATATATATATATATATATATATATACATATATATATATATATATATATATATATATATATGTGCGTACGTATGTTGCCTGAATTTGGCAGGAATTGTTCACGTGGTGGAGGCTCGGATATGAGAGATGAACCACAATCGAATGTCGTGTACAGGGTTCTTTGTGCTGAATGCACTGTAAAACTAGAGTACGCATGCACATTTTATATGCATCTAGTGAATGTGGTGTGAATGTACTTATAGTATAGACAAGCATTGTATGATATAATTAACAATGTAATGTATACATACATTATAATATATATATATATATATATATATATATATATATATATCTTTTAAAAAAAAAGAAAAAAACAACATATATATTTATTTTAATAGGTGGGTGGGCACTATCAAAATGACTAGTCATTTAATTTAAAAATCATTTTCGCATATCATTTAATTTAATTTAACTTAGCCGTTGGCATGAATGAATATATAGGACGAACTACTTGTCTCCATCTTTGTTTTTCCTGCTGAATTTTTTAGCTATATTAGGCAATCAAAGCATGCGCCCAATGCATCCTTCCAAAACAACATGCAAATAATAACAATATAGTTCTAAATACACCTATACATACACACATGTACACACACACACACACACACACTTGCATGCACAAACCTTGTCCTATCTTCAGATTCAGAAAACTGCACACACACACACACACACACACACACACACACACATACATATATATATACACACACACATACATATATATATATATATATATATATATATATATATATATATATATATATATATATATATATATATATATATATATATATATATATATATATATATATATATATATATATATATATGTGTGTGTGTGTGTGTGTGTGTGTGTGTTTATTAGGTTTTTTTTCCTTTTTTTCCTAATTCGGGATTAAAATATCCCGATCGGGATTGAACCAATTCCCAAATCCCAATCCCGTATTTGTTCCTAATCCCGATCCCGAATCCCCGAAGTTTTAGTCCCAAATAGTAAAATTCCGATCTGGACGAAACGGGATCCGAATCCCGATCCCAAATGCCCAACCCTGATTAACCTTTCATTAAATGACATGTGGCATTTAAAAATATAATTATTCATATATTTAAAATTTGATAATCTATTTGATATTTGTGGTTGGACACTGTTGGAGTTGCTCTAATTTTTTGCTATCAGAGTTGTTCTAAGATGTGAAATATCAAAATACAAAGTCTATTTGATATCTCCATTGGAGTTGAATATTTTTAGTTTGGAATATCAAAATAGTGGTTATGTGTTTTGATAACCCATTAGAATTACTCTAACACACAACACCAATACATCTCAATTTTCTTATTTTCTACACAAAAACAAATACATCTCAAATTTCCACCAAACATTTGCAAAATAAAAATACAACCATACGTCCCCTTTGTTTTATGTATTATATAATCAAACATTGTTTCATTTAATAAATATATATTTCCTATTGAATTGATCCATTTTTGTCATCAGAAGCAGAAGCAGTGTTGTTAGAACCAGACCAAACCGGTCGGACGGACCTGTTCGATCGTGACCAGGCGATGAAGTAGTTCGATCTGATCTCTAAAATTAGAAAAATTAAAAATCAGGTCAAATAATCAAAATCCGTTTCGACTGGGTAAAACCCGGAAATCGGCAAGTCAGTTAAGGAACCCCGTTTTTTTACCAAAACATATCAAACCACCACCATGTTAGTTATTTTGGCCAGATTTGAGCGAACATTCACGAATTTAAAGGTGGATGGCTAGATCTAGTCGTGAGCGGTCGAAGGATTGTCGGATATGGTCACGGGTGATCGAAGAGGGGTGGTCGATTGCCGAATTTGAAGAATAAAAAATGAGAAAATATAGAGTATAAACAAAATAAATTGAGTAAAAAGTGGAGTAATGTAGATAAAGTAAAAATAATGGGTGGAAGATTAAAAATATAAGGAAAATAATATTTATAAAATATTAAAATTAATAAAATAATGACGTAATAAGAAAAACCAAAAACCTGGTTGAACCAGTTCGACCCTATAAAACCATGACCCAAATGATCGTCTGATTCTATAGTCGGTCCGGTTCTAACAACATTGATCATAAACTCTTAAACACATTTTAATTATTATTTTAAATGTAATTTTCCCCTATTATTTATGGTAGTTTAATATTTTGAATAATGTATCACATTCATTAATTTCTCATTAACCCAAAAATATATTGAGAAAAAATATATAATGAACTTATTCCACCTAAAATTTTCAACCAAAACTAGATTAAAACCTATTTTTGGCCAACAAAAATATTAAGGGCAAATTACCAAAACCCCCCTGAGGTAAGCCTAAATAACGAAAATCCCCCCATGTTCTCGTAATTACGAAAACCCCCCTGAGATATGCAGACGTCTTACAAATCGCTCTAACGGTGTTAGACTCGATAGAATCTTTTTGATTCTCCCGAATATTCCTCCGATAATACCAATTTTGCCCTTGTACACGAAATTAACCTTAGGGGGGTAATTGTAAGCATTTTATTTAAGGGTTAACTGCACATATTCATCTTCTTCGTCTTCTTCGTCCACCACCACGTATCAGACACACCACCAAACACAAACCAGGCAATCATAACCTCTCACAAATCAAACACCAACCACCACAACCTCTGATCCGCCGCACCACCCCCACCACCACCGAACCAATTTCAATCCATCCCCCCATTTCTGCTAGTTCGATTTCGAAAAATCTGCTATTTAATCCGCCCCTTCACCATCACAAGGCAAAGAAATTGGGTTTTTTTCGCCGGTGCTCCGGTCTCAAAATTTGACTGCCGGCTGGTGGTTATTTCTTTGCCGCAATCAATCAACGGGTGACGGCGGCGGCGAATTGCAGTGGGGGAAGCACCCATTTGGTGGAATATGACACTGTAGCAAGGGATATACCTTCCGCCGTTGAAACCTTCGGCGGCGGTCCATCAATTTCAGCCCCAAACCAAATTTTTTCTTTGAATCAGAGTTTGAATCCGCCCGAGGAATTTGAGTTTTTGGAATCAAAGCTTAATCAACAATACAGTCCTCAATTTGTTGTTTTTTTTTTCGGGAGAGAGAAAGATTGATTAATTTGGTGTTTCGGTGTGATGTGCTTTCGGGTTATAGTCCTTGATTTTCGATGGACGATGAAGCAGAGGCGGCAGGCGGCGGAGGCCGACGAAGCAGAGTTGGGCAAGCGGAGGGCGGCGAAACAGAGGCGGCGGAGGGAGGTAAAGCAGAGGCGGCAGGCGGCGGTTTGAGGGCTGAAATGGATGAAGAGTAATTTGGTTGGGCCGGTGGTGACGGGATAAGTTTGGTTGGGGAAGATGCCCTTTTTCAAATAAAAAAATAAAAAAATTATAATATCAAATTATCAATACAAATTACAAAGTAATAAATAAATTTATAAAAGCAATAAATCATCAAGTGAAAGGGATGTCAGGGGGGATTTTCGTTATTTAGGCTTACCTCAGGGGGGTTTTGGTAATTTGCCCTTTATTTTTTACATATTTAACAGAAGGATATAATAGACATTTCACGTTTTCGGTTAAAAAAATTCGGTCAACCGTTAGTCAAGGGGGGTTTTCGTAATTACGAGAACATGGGGGGGATTTTCGTTATTTAGGCTTACCTCAGGGGGGTTTTGGTAATTTGCCCAAATATTAAATATCACAAAATCAATCACATCAATGCTACAAAACTAGTGATGCCAATTTATCTCTAACCATGAGAAACGTCAACACTTTCCCCACCACAAATCACCAAAATGCCACCCCACAAATTCCCCATCTCTCTCTCTCTCTCTCTCCTCTCTCTCTTCTCTCTCTCTCTCTCTTCCCATATCTCACTATCCACTGCAATTTAATTCATTTCTCGGCCAATGAATAATTTTCACTTAAATATTCTGCTGTACACAAAAATGGCAATTTTATCAATGTTAGCCATGGCGGCATCATCATCATCATCGGCTGCTGCTAACGTGCACCCCGTGATTTTAATACCGGGGAGTGGCGGCAACCAATTAGAAGCTAGGCTGACGTCAGAGTACAAGTCCTCGAGCTTGGTGTGCAACAAGTGGTACCCGCTGAAGAAAGACCCGGATGGGTGGTTCAGGCTTTGGTTCGACCCGACTGTGATTTTCCGACCCTTCACAAAATGCTTCAATCGGAGGATGATGATTTACTACGACCCTGATGAGGATGATTACCATAATGCCCCTGGTGTTGAGACTAGAGTTCCTCATTTTGGATCCATTCAAAGTCTTCTCTATCTTAATCCTACTCTCAAGTAAGTTTCCCATTTTCTTTTTTTTTTTCTTTTTTTTTCTTTTTTTTTTGATATAAGTAAGTTTGCCATTATTAACCAACCTCGATGAATTAGTAATCTCTCTTAAATAATATTTTTTTCCTGTATGGGCTCGGTAAAAATGTACTAAAATATTAGATTATTAGTTCAATAATTTAATATTTCGCTAAATTAATAGAATTTTGTTAGTTCCGACTGTATTAATTTATTGAGGTTAAACGGTATATCTTAGCCGGTGGAATTGAATTCAAGAAAAAGAAAATATTGAATTCTTGAATAGCTCAAAAGGGTTGTTATAACAATTTGAAATTCTTACCTATAAATTTGTTTTCACCCAAATGCAACTTTAATTTCATGATTCAAATATAGGAATCCTAACTTAATTATATCGTAGGGCAAATTACAGCCAACCTGAGGTAATGCTCAAATTGTAAAAAAGAAACTCCTTATTTAGATAATTTATAATTACAACCACCGCTAAACTATATATTGTCTTGGGTAAATTACACCCACACCCAGTGGCGAGGCCAGAAAGTATGGTGAGGGGGGGCTTAAACAACCAGTGGCGAGGCCCCGAAAAATTTTTTGCTACGAAAGAAATTTGAGATGAAAATTCGATATGAATTTTTTTTTCCTTCACTTTCAGAATATAATACCAAAACGAATCGCGAAAGCTAATTTGCTATGAAAATTTAAAAAAAATGAATATCAGGTCGATTATCAAATTGACACTGAGAAGTTGTCAAATGCTATAACGATCGTCGGTGGGTGGCAATTTAATCGCTATTAGTGTGACTGTGGGAGTGAACAAAGTTTTTTTTTTTTTTCTTCTTTCAAGAAACGTAATGAAGTTGAGAAATAAAAGATGGGGGCTTTGAGTAAGTGGACTAAAAATAAGTGGGCTTAAATAATATAATTAAATAGACTAAAAAATTAAATAGAATATACATGGGGGCTTTGAGTAAGTGAACTAAAAATAAATGGGCTTAAATAATATAATTGAATTAACTAAAAAATTAAATAGAATATATATATATATATATATATATATATATATATATATATATATATATATATATATATATATATATATATATATATATATATATATATATATATATATATATATAATAGGAAAACATTGGGAAGTGAGGGGGGGCTTGAGTCCACCCTAGCCCTTGGGTGGACTCGCCCCTGCCCACACCCCTGAGGTATGCTTAAATAACTGCAAGGTCCCTGTGGTATCGATAATTACATTCACCCCCTTGAAACGTAGTTATAAACTCTAATGAGATAATGCATTTGATACGTTATTACGATAGAATTCTAACGGACTATTGGTTTCAGGAAGTGGTAGAGACAACAAAGAGTTATGGGTGATTTAAGAAATATTGGGGGAACCATGTCATCCCATAACTTCCCATAACTTTATTTATCTCCACCACTAGCTAAAAGTAATAGTCTATTAGAACCCTATCGAAATAATGTATCCAATGCATTATCCCGTTAGAGCTTCTAACTACGTTTCAGGGGGTTGAGTGTAATTATCGATACCACAGGGACCTTACAGTTATTTAAACATACCTCAGGGGTGTGGGTGTAATTTACCCTATTGTCTTATATGTCCACACTTATGATTTCGAATTTACCTACTGAATAAAAAGTTCTTTTCGTGAGACTAGTTGAGTGGTGATTTTAATTTTCCAAACATAAGGGATTTTTTTGTAATTAGAGCTTAACTCAGGAGTTATCGTAATTTGACCATTCTATGATTTTAGAAGTAAAGTCTTCCAAATAATTCGTGATTGATTTCGAAAGCTTTTATTAGTAGCATTAAACATGAAAAGTAATTCTAGTAAGTGATTCAACTACAAAGAAACTAAATTTGTTGCATGCATGATTCTTCATTCTATGATAGAAAATCAATTAATTAACTTGACTTATAAATAATTCTTTGATAAGAATTTTGTAGCAAAACCTACAATACAAAGCTCATCTCACAATTAGTGAACACGTTTTTCATATTTTGCAGAGGTATTACATCATACATGAAACCCCTAGTAAAATCTCTCGAAAAAGTAGGCTACGTGAGCGGCAACAACCTCTTCGGTGCACCCTATGATTTTCGTTACGCGTTGGCCGCAGAAGGGCACCCGTCCAAAGTGGCCTCCAAATACCTAGCCGACCTCAAAACCCTAATAGAATCGGCGAGCGCCTCCAACGGGGCCCGCCCCGTAATCCTCTTGACCCACAGCTTAGGCGGCCTCTTCGCCCTCCATCTCCTCAACCGCTCCCCAATTTCTTGGCGCCAAAAGTACATCAAACGCTTGATCACACTAGCCGCCCCGTGGGGCGGCACAGTGGGAGAAATGCTCACTTACGCGAACGGGAACTCGTTCGGCGTGCCGCTAGTCGATCCGCTCCTCGTCAGGGACGAACAGAGGAGTGCCGCTAGCAATTTGTGGCTCATGCCTTCCCCTAGGGTTTTCAATGAATCTAAACCGCTAGTGGTTATGGCGAACGGTACGCATTATACTAGTTCGGATATCGGCCGTTTTCTCGGCGATATCGGATTTCCAGAGGGGGTGGGCCCGTACGAGACGCGGGTTTTGCCGTTGGGTTTGCGGGCCCCGCAGGTGCCCGTTACGTGTGTGGTTGGGACCGGGGTGAAGACGCCGGAGAAGTTGATTTACGGGGGTAGTGGGTTTGGGGAACAGCCGGTGGAGATTGTGTACGGGGATGGGGACGGAACAGTAAATATGGTAAGCTTGCTTGCGGTGGAAACGGAGTGGGGTGGGTGTAAGAATCAGTCACTTGAGGTGATCAAGATTGATGGTGTTTCTCATACTGAAATATTGAAGGATGAAAATGCACTTGGAAAGATAGTTGGTGTAGTTTCTTCTGTTAATTCTGGAATTTCGATGAGTTCGTTGGTTGTAAGAACCTTTTCTTGATCATGTTGACAATTTTTTTTTTATATGGTTTGGGAATTAAATCTCAAACTTTGTAGTCATACATTTTATAGCTAAACGAGAAAATATAAAATGGATTAGGAGTAAGTGTTGGATTCAAAGATTTGAATTGTATTAAGAATTTTATTATCTTTTGTTTGGTTGATAAAATTATTGATTTCATATACTTCATTTGAAAACGAAAAAAATTGATATATCGAGATTGAGTATAATAAAAAAATAACATTCAATAAATATTTACAAATAAAGTAAATAACGTCCCGCACGACCAATCCGAATAGAATTATCACCATTAAAAACACCAATACAATGTGAACCAAACTCAACTTTCTTCACGATCACCGTCATATTCAAATAGAGGCAGCAAAATTAAAATTAAAAAACAACCTACCCTCCGTTAGTTATTCTCCGCTTGCTCCGCCGTTCTCCATCGTCACTTTTGCTCGCCTCACCGGATTCTCATACGGCTCCGACAGGGCCGGTCCCAGGGTCTCGGAGGCCCGAGGCGAGAAACGAAAACGAGGCCCACTTAATTACCAACTTTATTTTGATTTATTAATTCATTCCTCAACCATAATTCCATAACTTCATCTTCAACATATTTTTGCAAGATAATTTATTCAAATCTAAGAGCTCCATTTGTGATTTTTTTTTAATATCCCAACTCAAACTTTTCTATTGCTCATTGTGTAGATAGATACTCAACTTATGAAATTCCAAAATATACAATATAATACAAAATAGCCTAATTATTAAACACAAAATATAAACACAACAAGTTAAAAAAAAAGTATAGGATTAGAAATGAAAGAATCAAGATAATGACATATAAACTTAATTAATTCTTAGCTTGTCAATCAGCACAGAAGAAAAGAAAAAAGGAGGAAAATTAAAAAATAAAATTAGAAAGAAAAAAACAGGGAAATTAAAAAAAATTAAAAAAAAAAAAGAGGGAAAATAAAAAATTAAATTAAAAAGAAAAAAAAAGAGGGAAATTAAAAATAAAAGGAAAAAAAAGAAAAAAAATATATAAAAAAGAGAAAGGAAATAGCAACTTTTAGACGGCCGGCCAGTCAATGATTCAAACACGCGACCTATGAGTACAACTTAGCCAACTATGTTAAAGACAATTCTTTGGAAAATTTTATAGCTCCATAATTATATAAACATTTCACAAAATTTGAAGCCCTAAAAGTTTTCGATTTTTCGGAGGCCCAAGGCGACGTTGCTCACCTTGGACTTGGGCCGACCCTGGGCTCCGGCCGCGAAGAAATATTGTCGTCGCATCATCCTCTTCATTGCGTCGTTACCATAGTATCCAAAGGACTTCAAAGGCGCTCGCGATTTGTGCCATGGTGGTGGCGGTGGCGGAGTGGAGTGAAGTGAAGGGAGGATGGTGAGATCTGAATCGAGAAAAAAAAAAAAAAAAAAAAAAAAAAAAAAAAAAAAAAAGGAAGAGAAAGGAGAATGGTTAGGGTTAAGAGTTGAGTGGTTATAATCAAATACAAGTGTAGACGCATAAATTAATTAATTGGTTAATTAAATTAGCCAATTAAATTGTGTCTAAATTAAATTATAATTTATCTTGCAAAATAAGTTATGGAGATAATTATCAATTAATTATTGGCCAATAGGATTATTTCTTCTCTTCCAAGTTATAAGAGATAAATATCAATTTAAAGAGAGTCAATCAAATCGCGCCACGTCATCAAGAAGACTTTAAGTAGGACTCTTATTCTACCACTATAAATAGGGACCCTCCCTACACAATTCAAGGCACAACTTAAGAAGAAGAAAAACCGTAGGAGAAAATTCTCTCTACAATATTCAAGTCGTTCTTCATCAAGTTCAAGGCGTTCTTCATCAAATCGAGGGCGTTCTTCAACAAATCAAGATCGAAGGAAGATTGAAGGGTCAAATCCATCAAGAAATCCAAGATCTTCAAGTCAAAACCCGTCAAAGTTCAGCGTTTCGATTCGAGATTCAAGTCGCAAGACCCTCGGAAGACGTTATTCAAATCCAAATCAAATCCGGAGAAGATCAAGTCAACGACCCGTCTCCGAAATTCAAAGTCAAACACATATCGTTCTTGAGAGAAGAATCAGAGGATTAAATTAGAGTTTGTAACCCGCAATATTTATTTTTTATTCAATAAAATTATCTTTGTGCAAGTTTTTCTTGTTTGTCTAAATCGCAGATAAGAATTTGTTGTTACAAATTTTGGCACGCCCGGTGGGACATTTCTACCTCTCATCTCTTCTCTCTCGAAGATCCTCGAAGTGTTGCAGTGACTGCTCCACGTTCACAATGAAGATTTCTTCTTCGGATTCATCAAGTGTGGGCTTAGGTACAAGGAGTATGGCTAAGAAGCTGCAAGCATCCTCCGAGACTAACTCGACGCCTCAAACCATTCAGAAAGGCTTACCACCTCTTGTCAACACAAGCGCAGACGTGGAAGGTTCAAAACGAGAGATTTCACAGCCCACGCCTCGTTCAACATCAAACTACTCAGAGGTGGCATCCGTCATGACAACAAACGCTACAACCATGGAGGAGAAAATTGCAAGTTTGGCAAAGGCCATTGAGGGACTCGCAAAGCATGTTCAACAACGAGATTCTCAAATTGCCGCGTTGATCAACAAGATGGACAAAGCCGATGCTAGTCAAGCTGTGGAGAATCAGATAGAGGCTCAAGACGAAGTCAAGACATCCACAAAGCAACAGCCAGTTGAAAACGAGAAGGCTCCAGCTCAAGAACTTCAAGTTTCTCCCGAAGGGCTGATTCATGTAGATCAAGTGATGACGCTGATCAGTAGAACAATCAAAGACAAGTTGGAAGGAAGCTCGAAGTCGCCATCAACCTATGTCAAGCCATACACGCAAAGGATCGATGATCTAAAGATGCCAATGGGCTATATACCTCCAAAGTTTCGACAATTTGACGGCAAAGGCAACCCCAAGCAACATGTGGCACACTTCGTGGAGACTTGCAATGATGCCGGCACGTATGGAGATCACCTCGTCAAGCAATTCGTCCGATCGCTCAAAGACAATGCGTTTGATTGGTACATTGATTTGGGGGAAAACTCCATCGATAGTTGGAAGCACTTAGAGGAAGAATTTCTCAACCGCTTTTACAGTACTCGAAGAACAGTCAGCATGATTGAGCTCACCAATTCCCGCCAGTGGATGAAGGAACCTGTCATCGACTACATCAACCGTTGGAGAAATTTGAGTCTTAATTGCAAGGATCGACTGCCCGAGACATCAGCTATTGAATTGTGCATCCAAGGAATGCAATGGGGACTCCGATATATCCTTCAAGGAATTCAACCTAAAAGTTTTGAAGAGTTGGCCACTCGAGCACATGATATGGAATTGAGCATAACTGCAAATAAAGTCGAAGAACCTTCATTCCAAAAGTCGTACCGGCTCAAAGAAAAATATGTTGAAGAAGAACAAGAAGATCATGAGGATGGGGGCAAGTGTTTTGAGGAACCAACACCCTATGCAATATGAAAAGTTAAATCAAATCAATCACTCCTTGACACGAGTTTAAAAGGTCTACATGTCAAAATCAAATACTCCTTGACACGAGTTTAAAAGGTCTACATGTCCAAATCAAATCAAACACTCCTTGACACGAGTTTAAAAGGTCTATATGCCCAAATCAAATGAAGTACTCCTTGACACGAGTTTAAAAGGTCTACATGTCCAAATTAAATAAAGCACTCCTTGACACGAGTTTAAAAGGTCTACATGTCCAAATACATTTAAGCACTCCTTGACATGAGTTTAAAAGGTCCACGAGTTCAAATCAAATCAAGGCTCCTCGATATGAGCATAAACTATCTATATATCAAAATCAAGTCAAGGCTCCTTGATACGAGCATAAACTATCTATATATCCAAGTCAAGTCAAGGCTCCTCGATATGAGCATAAACTATCTATATATCAAAATCAAGTCAAGGCTCCTTGATACGAGCATAAACTATCTATATATCCAAGTCAAGTTAAGGTTTCTCGATACGAGCATAAATTATCTATATATCAAAATCAAGTCAAGGCTCCTCGATATGAGCATAAACTATCTATATATCCAAATCAAGTCAAGGCTCCTTAATACGAGCATAAACTATCTATATATCCAAGTCAAGGCTTCTCGATACGAGCATAAATTATCTATATATCCAAATCAAGTCAAGACTCCTTGATACGAGCATAAACTATCTATATATCCAAATCAAGTCAAGGCTCCTCGATACGAGCATAAACTATCTATATATCCAAATCGAGTCAAGGCTCCTTGGTACAAGCGTAAACTATCTACAAATTCAAGTCAAATGCTCCTTCAGCACGAGCTTAAACTGCAAATGTTTCTCCTTGTCCACATGAGTATAAACTGTGCATGACATCTCTCAAAATGATATATTTTGAACTACGTTATGGCTTGATCCCTTTATAGGTACGTAGGCAACTTAGAATCTCTCTAAGTTCAGTCATGATTTCAAAAGATATATGTGCTTTGCTAGATCGAGCTGCAATTGAAGTTGAGCAATTATCGAGACTCATTCACTCCAAGATGCATTGTCCGTGAACAAGTCTCGAGGGGGCATTTGTAGACGCATAAAATTAATTAATTGGTTAATTAAATTAGCCAATTAAATTGTGTCTAAATTAAATTATAATTTATCTTGCAAACTAAGTTATGGAGATAATTATCAATTAATTATTGGCCAATAGGATTATTTCTTCTCTTCCAAGTTATAAGAGATAAATATCAATTTAAAGAGAGCCAATCAAATCGCGCCACGTCATCAAGAAGACTTATACTAGATCCGATGTTTATGTTTTGAGATTCGTCGCAATCCCTTTGTAGCTCTACCCCTCGTCTCATCGTCCGATCTGGTGAAAAAACCTAGAATATTAGCATGAATGCACATATTTTTTTCCTCAATCTAATGCAAAGTAAATTCATAATATAAGTTTGTTGTCAAAGTTGTAACAAGTCCATTGAAGTACTTAAATTGATTATTTTCATATATGTTATGATTTTCTTTTCTAAAAAAAATGTTAGATCATGTTCAAGTAATGGTAGGATATATTTTCTGTTAAAAATAAATTCT